AACAGGATGGTGAAATTGATCGACGAATCGGCGCAGCAAGTGGTGTCTTACGCTTACTTTATCGATCGGTTGTGACTAAAGTAGAACTGAGTAAAAAGACAAAGCTAGCGATTTTCAAATCAGTGTATCGACCTACACTCATATATGGTCACGAACAATGGATATTGACAGAGAACACTCGCTCTCGAATACAATCGGCTGAGATACGATTTCTACGTAGAGTAGCTGGTTTGACACTTCGAGATAAAATCAGAAGTTCCAGCATATATGAATCTCTACAAATTGAACCACTACTTCTTCATATTGAACGTTCACAATTACGATGGTTAGGACATGTCCTAAGAATGCCACAAAATCGATTACCGTACCAAATATTCCAAGGTAAGCCAACGGGAAAAAGACCAATCGGACGACGAAGAACAAGTTGATACAAATACATCGAAAAACTCAGCCAGGTGCCTCTAGGCCTCCACTGGTACGAGGTACAACAAGCGGCGAAAGATCGAAACCAGTGGAAACTACTACTGAACGGGCTTAAATCCCGACCCGAACGAACAAGGGGGAGAAAATGAATGAATGAATGAATGAATATTGCCTGTAGCGAAAAAGAAATTACAGGTTTACTTCCGTATAATGTGATGTTGGCAAATACCTACCTTTCACCTACGGTTAAAAGGAAGTGTAAGATGCGCGCATAGATGGTTCGTATTTACTAGTCAATTTAGTCGAAAATATAGTGTGACGATAAAATGATGAAATTAGATTGATAAAAACAGATGCTTCTCAGAGTCGATTTCCTAGGAGATAACATTTCAAACTCAGAGAAAAATCCCATATGTTCTTCTTAATTTTTTCACACTTACGCAGAAAAATATAGTTGCTAAAGGTATAGATAAAACGTCACATCACAGCTATGAATCATAAGCTTTCTCTCACGAATGACTTTAACTTCCAAGCTGCAAAAATATAAGCCATTTTTCACGACATACAAATTATAATTACTTTTCGTTCTTCGAAACACAACCTTCAACAAA